GGGGGGGGAAAAACATATACAGTATGCCATTCCACTCTATTAAAAGTCATTATCAAAATTTCTAGCACTATTTCAATTCAAGAAAATTTTTTTTTGTTTAAAATTTTTTTTTTGTCTTCTCTGTCAACGTACACTCACGCATCCACCCTGTTTTGTTATTGGTCTTCCGTAAACTTGTAAAAATTATTTCAATTGAACTTCTCTTATTATATCATTTATTGAAGCTTTCTTAAATGCGGTTTAATTAGGTAAATGATACCATGCCTATCTGTTCCCTGGCCCCGGAGAGATGCGGAACTCCCTTTAGAAAAAAAAAAAAAAACGATACAACATTTTTATCATCTTCGTGTTTATATGATGGACTAAGGTCCATTATCTTACACCCCGCCTGTTGCGTGAGTGGTAGGGGGTGTGGCCTCCCAAGGGAGAGGTCTTGGGATCTAATCCCCCAGGGTAAGAGTTGCAACTGCTCCACCGCCCAACTAACTTCTGACCGGCTAATTCTATTGACGTAGGTAAATGATATCTGGCCCTATAGGGCCCACCCAGAAAAAAAAAGGTCTAGTATCTTCGAATGAACGGTTCACCACTTCATCTATCTAAGCTATATTTCGAAAGGCCTCCACCTTTGGAGGTAGTTTTCAAGATTGAGTCCCAAGGAGTGCAATTGTTGTAATTTCCACATTGTTAAGCTTCAGAGGCTAGGCATTAACCTACTAACCTAGAAGAGATAATAACACTATTAACTGGGTTGTAGCCTAACTATATAACTTGTACCAAAAAAAAAAAAGGCCTTAGCCCAAACATCACGTTGTTTTTGTTATGATTGCAAATAGGGTTAGCACCCTAGGTAGTTGTATTTGTATATGTTCATGGATTAGTGGATTAAAAGGCCTCCAATTTGAAAGTAGGCATATCAATAGCTACTTCATAACTCATGAAAATGACTCTCGGACCACCCACGTCCACATTGGTGCCAATAAGTTATAAACATCATGAGTAAGAAACCCTTTCCAAAATTAGGCTTAATCGCCCACAAAACGAGAAAAGACAAAATAATATGAGTGTAGATTCAACTCAAAAGTACTTTGTTTTTTTCCTGATTTGAGAGATAAAGTTGTGGTATATTCAAGTTGAGCTAAGTCAAGGTCGAGCTTGGCTTGAATTGGTTCAAGTTAGGCTCAAGCTCAGCTTAAGCTTGAAAAGTTTGGCTTGAATTGAATGACTTGACTTGATTCAAGTTCGGATATTAAACTTTAAAATCACCTACAAATAGGGGCAGAGCCAGAGATTTATTGTAGGGGGCACACAATGGTTGATTGAAAATATAGTAAATGTTTATGAATTTGCCAGATAATGAATAGGCGAATACAAAATATTTTGAGACTAGCTAAGAGGATGGGGTTTGAAGGCATAATATCCCTCCCCTCCCCTCCTTTATTTTTATGACTAAGTTTGTAGGTCATTTCATTTATATTACTTATTCTACATGTGTTTTTTTTTCCATTGCTTATTGGGGCAACTGTCTCATTGCCGTATGACTATGCCTTGTTAAATTAGGGCCCCCGCTATGTCTTCTTAAATAATATAAAGAAATGTTTGGCGGGTAGTCAACTATCTAGCCGAATGTCAGTTCTCATTTGTCCACATACCCCTTTTTAACACTTATTAATTGTGATTAAAATTCACTCAGTCTTAGAGTTCTACCATTTAACCTTAGTTTTTAGGGAAAAAAATATTAACCTTAAGTCGGTTAAGATACTAAGCTTAACTATTATTAAAGGGGCACAAAATAGGAAGACATTTAGCTATTTAGTTAATATAATCTAATTTTTTTTCAAAAGTTCAAGGGACAGCTAATACACTTGAACAAATACTAATAGGGTGTTTGGATTGGATTTATTTGATTAAAAATCAATTCTAATAAAATTGATTGTGTAGAAATTTATGATCAAATAATAATTTTTTTAAATAATAGTGTTCGGAGAATAGGTAGGTGAGTCTAACACACTTGGGGTTGCGGCCTAACGGTATTTCATAAAAAGAGGGGGGAACTGCCCCATGGCAATGACTATGCCCTTTTTTTTTTTTTTTCTAATGACCAAGGGGCACTGCTCCATCAATATGTTTTTTCAAATATAAATAAAGGCTTCGGATTTTCTCCCCACTTGATATCTCTCCCCATTTAATCGGCACATATCCAATGATGTGCGGAGGCCCACCTCGGCCATCTGCCCAGAAAATCCGAAGCCAAAAATAATTTTATTACTCAAAAATTGGGGGGTGGGGGAGGGGCACGTGTCAAACTAATCTGCAAACAAACGAAACCACCACTAAATTACAATTCAAAATCAGAGTTCTGCATAATGTATTGCTAAATTTTTCAGAGGATTTATTTGAGAAAAAAAAAAAAAAACGCCCATTGAAGATCGCAGAAGGCTAATCCATAAAACTTCTTAAGAGATCCTCAAACCCCATTTAATTTTTTTGCCCTTTTCTGAGAGCTCCCATTTAACTCATTATTGGCTAAATTCTAATCTTGAAAAAAAAAAAAAACCCCTGAGAGGCCAGGGCCAATTTAATAAAATCAAAGAAAGAAAAAGCTTCATACGTAGCTTTCCTCCTGTAATAGTAATACTCTTTTTCAGTTAAAAATAAACTAAAATCTCTCTTACCCAAAGATGGTTCAGTTTGAGCTTAAAAATACTAAAACCTCAAAAGGAGTCTTGAAAAGCTCTGCAGAACTCAAAAGTATTCTCTCTCTATCTCTCTCGATTTTGACACAGAAGACTACCGTAACCAGAGCTGGCATGGGCCAAATGGCAGGTGTCGGCTTTATAAAACACCACCAGCTTCAGTAAAAAAGACCTGAGAGCTGTAAACCAGCAATTCATTACCCACCTTCCCCTTTCTACTCATCAGACCTTTTCTGCCCATCAAAACACCCATGAATGAAAACTAGAGATCACTAATGGTAATGGAGATGGGTTCAAGCTCTTTGGCTGTTTCAGGGGCTTCTGGTTCCTCCGATTCTCTCAACGGATTGAAATTCGGCAAGAAAATCTACTTTGAAGATGTGGGTATTGGAGTTTCGCCCGAACCAAGTCGTGGGTCGTCGTCGGCTTCGGTTTCTGAGTTGCCCACTTGGGTGGCGCCGCCGCCGGCCCCTCCACCGCCGGTGCCGGCGCCGAGGAAAAGGGGGGTTGTGCCGGGAGGGCAGCCTCCGAGATGTCAGGTTGAGGGATGTAAGGTGGATCTAAGGGGTGCTAAAGCTTATTATTCTAGGCACAAGGTTTGTGGGATGCATTCCAAAGCTCCTCAGGTGATTGTTGGAGGGATGGAGCAGAGGTTTTGCCAGCAGTGTAGCAGGTCAGATGGGTTTGTTTTTCGTTATTAATTTTTTTCTTCTTCTTGTGGTTGTTTTCTGTCCCTCTTTTTGCTGTTCAAAGATATAATTTTGTGTTTCTACTGTATAATTTGTGCTATTTTGTTTCGAATTTTATTATGGTTTTCTAATGTTTTTTTGGGAGGCTCGTTTTGGTTTCTGAATTTGGTTTTTGATGTTTGGTGTTCACTAGTATTGGGCTTGTGTGATGTTGGTGGAGGGTTTGGAGTTTCTGGTTTTGTTTGGTGTTTGGGATTCTTACTATTACTGTATTGTGATTGTTTATATATTGTGTCTGGAATTTGTTTACGTTTCTGAATTAGATTGTGGTGTTTCCGTGTTGGTGGTGATGGGATATTGGCTATCTGGAGCTTATGCTTAGTTTGTTCTGTTAAATCGTTTGGTTATCTCAAGTATTTTCTGTTTGTTGGTTGTGTTTGTGATGGTAAACTTCATTCTACAACCGAACTTTGAACGTTTGGTGCTGCGATTGTGGGCTTATAAATTCTTAGGCTATGGCAGAAATTTCTAAGTTGGGTTTTTTGTTTGTCTGTTTGTTATCTACTTCAGCTGTTCAATTTCTCTACAGGCCTCTTTCTTTTTTCGAATTGAATTTGTTGGTTTCTTGGGCATCTTCTACATTCCACATATAATTGTTGTTGGTATTATAATTGTCAATTGTGAGTCCCATAGGAACTACCAAGCTATCTGGGGTCAGCTTTATTCTTCTTAGAAAGTGGACATGAATCGGTAATAGGAAAATTTAGAATCTCTTGCTGTTCGGAGTTCTAGCATGTGTTTTCTTTTATTTATTTCATGAGAATGCTACTATAATGTTATGGTCATGCTTCTGCTACATGGGCATCGTTAGTTAGACATGCCAGCCTCCAAAAACTAGGTTTATGTAATGGTTATGTGATTTTCAATAGGTTATGTTTAGAACATTTAACTTCCTCTTCTTTCTCAATGCCCTATCCCAACCATTTGGGGTTGGCAACAAGAATCATGTTCCGCGAATCTGTCTATTGAGAGTCATATCTTTGGTTAGAGAGTCTGTTATCAAATCTTTTTTCTATATCTCCATCCATATGTTCTTTGGCGTTTCTCTTGCCTTTTTAAAGCCTTCAACTTACACAAGACTCCCTTCTCACAGTATCGTCATTGATCTTTGTTGAAGGTATGCAACCATCTCAATCGATTCACCTTTATTTTATCAGATAATGGAACCACAAATTCTCTCAAACGCACTTATATCTGTCTTGTCTTTCTTAGTTTTTCATCCATCTCAATATCCTCATCTGGGCTACAGTCATCCTATGAATATGTTGCTCTTTGGTTGCCCACCATTCTTAGTCTTTGAAATAAGTAGGATCATTTGAAAATTGATTTTATTTACCCTTATTATTGGTTTGATTTGCTACCAATGTATTAATTGCTAATGAAATGAAATCTAAAGCTTTCTAGATAGCCAATTGTTTCTAGCTGTATTTTATATCTTGCCACCTCTTTGTGTATTGGTAACGGAGGGTGTTTGAAACCCTTTGAGGCAAGGACTAGTCCCTTCGGTGTCTGCACCGACCGACTCGAAAATTTCCCTACGGACAAGAGAGTAAGTCGAGGAGTGGGAGTTCAACACACGACCACAGGGTGCGAACCTGGGATGCTAGCCAATTGCGCCAACCCCCCTGGTGGAAAATTTGTGTACTTTGTGCTTTTGTTGTTGCATTGACCCCACACTTATTCAGTAGTTGTAAATGCCTATTTTGTTATTTAACAACGATAATGGTTTTCAAGGCAACAGACTCCATGGATGCCTGAGGCGCCCAAGGCATCACTTGATGAACTCCTTGCAGCAAAAATCTACCCAATATGAGATCTATATATGCTACATTTCCCTAAATAAGGGGCCTTACAATTCATACAAATTGCAAAATTTTCCATTATCAAGATGCACTTTGATAAAAACAATCCTTGGAAATAGTTCTAGGAATAAAAAGGGGGATTCCAATTGTGGGGAATAAAAAAAAACAAAAAAGCAAACTGTCTACAATGAGTCAGTGATTGCCGAGAGAGAGAGAGAGAGAGATCGTGGGATGATGCTCAAGAGGAAAATTTTCTGTTTATACCCGAAGGAATCCATCGTAGATCTTTACGCGGTGGGGAAGTGAACCATTTTAGGTAGATGGAAGAAAGGGTTCTAAGAATAGGCGGTGGAAAGAATATGGCTATGTTAGGAATAAACATTATATATAAGGGACATTTTAGGAAAATGAAAACGTATGCCAAAATTTTCAAGCGGTTGAAGGCTCTGTTATATAACATTATATATATATATATATATATATATATATGCATATATTTTCTTGTCCTTTCTTCTTTTTCCTTCTCTGGAGGTCTCTTGGACGGTTAGACCTTCACTGAATCCCTCGTTCCCTCAAAGACTTCCTATTCTGTTGGATTGCGGTCAAGTTGGAGGCTTCGGTATCGGTTTTATGGGCCTTAATTGCGGGGCAATAGGTTGGTTGATCTGGAAGGAGAGAAATAGGCGTGTATTCGATGACTTGATTTCTTCTTTGGAGCAGGTTCACTAGAGGTGCCGCCTACTTCTTATTTCATGATGCTTCATTAGGAGTGACTTCGCTCAGCTGGGCATTCAATTGCTGATTTGAGTGGGGGCTCTTATTGCGGTCTTGGATCCTTTTCTCCCTTATGTTGCTTTCACAATTTTTTATCTTGTTAGTCACTGATAAAGTGTGGACAGTGCTCGGGAGGTGATTTGGTCGGTTCTTCCTAGAGCCATATCGTGGACGATATGGAAAGAGAGAAACAAGAGAGTTTTTTAGGACTCTCCATCTTCTCCATATTGCATTTGTTCAAGCATTAAATTGTTTGCTTTGGATGGCGTTCCATTCAGTAGAAAGGGGAGGATCTGGCAGAAATTATAGGTTGAGTTTCGTTTTGTTGACTAGTGGTAGCTACCTTTGCTTTCTACATAGGGGATATTTGTATGCTTTTTTTCTTTCTTTCTTTCTCGAGTTTATGTGCTTGTAAACTCTTGTCCTATTGTATTGTTTTTGAACTTTGTTTCGATTATAATATACTCATTCGTTACCAATATATATAAAAAAACTATTTCTTTCATTACTTCACAACTCAGTGAAAACTATGCTCTCTGTTTCTTCAGTTACATTTGGTCTTATTTATGCTCTATTGCCAGTTTTAAATTTTTTTTATATGTATCACTAAAATAGGAATTTCTTCGACTTTTACAAATTTAACAAATAAAATAAATTTTGGCCGCCAAGGCATTTCCTAGGTCACGCCTCAACTGGGGCCCCTATGGCCAACGTGTCGTGTGGACACTTTGATTACACTTTGGAAACATGAAGAAAATGTTCTATGTAATCATATATAAGTTAGAATTGTAAATCTAGATCATATAATGAGCATACTAACTAGTTGAACATACACACAGTGGGGTTAGCCTAGTGGTAGTGTTAGGGGCAGAGCCAGGAATTTATTGTTGGGGGGGGGGGGGGCGGGGGTTTGGGGGCGGACCCATTGAAAATTTTTATTTACGACTAAGTTTGTGAGTCATTTCATCTATACATTTTGTACATATCCTATAAGTATTGTTTCTCCTTGTTTACGGGAGCAGTTGTCCCCTTATCGGCTATGCCCTATTAAATAATATAATATGATTTTTTTGAAAAGTTTAGGGAGCAGTTGTCCCTTGTCCAATGACTATGCCCTATTAAATAATTAAACTAAATAGTTAAAAGAATTTTTTTTTGTAAATTCAATGGGGCAGCTGCCCCATGACTAATCCTTTACGGCTATAACTAAATTCCTTTGAGTCCGGTTACAACACAAAAGTCTTTTAAATCTAGTTAATAACTTTAACCATTAGAGTTAATTTTTTTCTTCTCGAAACCAAGGTTAGGTGGTTGAACCTTAAGGTTTAGTGAATCTTTATCACAATCAAGAGGTATTAAAAGGGACATGTGTCTGTGAGTTGTAACCGACTCCAAGGAGTCCGGTTATAACAGTAGAGGATTCTAAATCCTTAGTAAACTATATCTTGTAAAAAAATTCAAAAGCTGAGGGGCACCCACCTGAGATCGAATCAAAGCCAATTGCGATTGAACTTGGGGAGAGTTCAATCACAACCACAGGCCAACATGTGTTCCTTTTAACCCCTATTAATTGTGGTTAAGAGTTACTAACCCTTGGGGTTCAACAATATAACCTTAGTTTTTAGAAAAATATTAAAAAAATATTGAACTCTAGTTAAGGATTTTTAACTCTTAGGGTTAACACTTTTTAATATATTTTTTTAAAAACTAAAGGTATATTGCTAAACCCCAAAGGTTAGTGAATCTTAATCACAGTTAATGGGGGGTTAAAAGGGATATGTGTTGGTCTGTAGGTGCAAAACTGAACTCTCCCCGAGTTCAATTGCAATTGGCTGTGATGCATCCACCTCCATGCCCCATGCAGCTATGCCATATATAATTTACATATACATAAAATAAATCGCGAAAGTTTAAGGGGGGGGGGGGGCACGTGCCCCCCTTGGTTCCGCCCCTGGGTAGTTTATCCCCTCACTAGGAGGGGGGTTCTGGGCTGAATCCCAATGGGTGCATCGCCTATTGGAGGCCTTCACTAACAGATGCTAACACTATTGACACTTAGATTGTACCAAAAAAATAGTTGAAAATAAGATTTTTGATAAAAATAAGATTTGTATAAATAGGATTACATGTGTCTGGCTGTCAAGTTTCCTAAAAATGGAGGTCCTAAATGTAGCTTCTTAATAACAATCATCTTAGCTTAAAATTCAACATCCTAACCATGGGATTAGTGCTGAAATATGAATGTTATACAATCCCAATTGGAGTTTTGAATATTGACATACAATTGCCTAGGCACTTTTGAACAAGGCCCTGTTAGGGAATCAATTGTGGAGATGTGGTGTTGAACACGACAGCCTATAGAGAAAGCCATTGAAAATAAATATGGAAGCAGGAATTTCGGATGGGACCATTATGAAGTCCTCTCTTCTTACGTCATCAGTATTTGGGTATAAACAACCTCTATAATGACTTCCTAGAATGCTTTCAATATAAGGTGGGTCGTGGAGATAAGGTGAGATTTTAGGACGATGGTGTGGAGATACTCCCCTTCATCAAGCCTTTCACTCTTTGAGATGTCAGATCCTAGAGAGGTGGCGGTCACTAATCATTATGAGGGGACTAATGATGAGAGAGTTTGATGCCCTAGATTCAGTACAATTTTTGGTGACAGGGAGTTTCATATTCTGGCCAACCTCCTCTTTCGTTTGAAAGAAGTTCCTTCTCCAGGGCTTGCTTGTGTGGACATGGTATCCGGAGCTTTCACGATGTGTTCCTTCTTCCCATCTTTCCTTTACAACGAAGTCTCTTTTGTTCTAACCAGACGTATTTGGGACAATTTGATTCCATCTAAGGTTTGATCTCTTTGTTGGATGGTCACTTTGGACAAGAACCTAACCGCATAACACTTAAGCAGAACAAGGATGATGCCAAATATGTGCTTCCTTTGCACATCTAATGGGGAATCATTTAATCACTTACTGACTAATAGCAAGTTCAGTTACATCATTTTGGTTTCCTTAAGGAGATTGATTTTCTCTATGTCACCTTCAACATAGTAACAAAGTCGAAGTTCGGGAATAATTCGGCAAGGGTAAATTACGGAAAACTTCGGAAAAAAAATGGAATAAATAATTTTTAAAAATAATTTTAAAAATTAGAAACATGATACTAATTAATATATCTAACAATTTGATGAGATAATATACAGAAAAAATAATTATAATCAACAATAATAAGTTCATAACATCATATTCCATTTCATCAAGGCATCAAAATTTATTAAGACATCAACTATCAAGATTAAAAAACAAAACTAATTGTTTTCATTCTCATTGTTTCATCAACAAACTTATTACATAATAAAATCACTCATTCATATTCATCAATCGCTCAAAAGCGAAATTATCATCAAGGACATCAATATTTGCATCATCTTCATTCCCTGAAGATCACTAGAAGAGGGTGCTCCCTCTTTAAGGTTATGATTCCCTTCAGCTTCAAGCACATCTGGGAATGTCAAAATTTCCTCAAGTTTATCCATTTTTTTCTTCGTATTATTCGCTTTAAACGCATTTTTTTTCTTCATATTATTCGTTTAAAATGCGTTTTAAACTATAATACACGTCTTTGTCACTGCGTGTTTTAAACGAATACGTGTTTTAAACTATAGTATGCATCGTTTTCTATCGCAGGGTATTAATGCGTGTTTTAAATGAGTTTTTTTTTTAAAAAAAAACACAAAAACTTAAAAGGATATTTTGGAGCTTTTACAAAGTTGGTGGATTAGCTTTTGACACCAAGGGTAGGATTGTTTGAAGATTTCTCCCTTTTGCCATAACAGAGAGTACTGGGAAAGAGAAACAATATTTTTTTTGAAGATAACTAAAATTCTACAGAGATGGCCTTCCATTAATTGTTCCCTGCTCTTGAAAGTTTCCAAATGTATGGATTTGCAAATTGTAAGCCATATGTTAATATTGATGTATAGCTTTACTTTTGTATATAGGCTTTGTAAGGGGTTCTTTCCCTCCTTTCAATAATAAAATCACT